CACAGTTATTGATCCGCTGCTAATGGATATGAATTGTCAGTCTGCTTCAAATGTCACCCTAGATGCTGTCATTTATGTTGTGAATACCTATATAAGCCTCAGCCTATTGTATTTGTTTGCTGAGCAGTAATTCTTAGTCACCTTTCTCGTCCTTCAATGCAGCCTCTGAGGGGCGAGTTAGGCATTCGCTTTATTACGCAGCATGCAGCTATGTATCTTGTTTTTCCTTAAGTAATTGCAGGCACAGGGGGGCTCAGTTCATGCTGAGAAGACAGCGTGCAGGGAAAGGAGGCTTACCACCTCACTGTCCCACTGCGATTGGCTCAGAGTTGTATAGGGGGGGAAAGCCATTCACACTGATGTGGAGGGTTGTTTTTTAAGTCCCAAAGCTTGAAGTGGGGTAATTGAGATTCCAGTTCTGATGGGGGTATAAAGAAATAAGCCGCCCCTCTCCTAATGCTGCCTTTCCAGTAAGAATTGGGATGTCTTGTACCTGGAATGTAGTATCTAGCTAACATTAAACTTGGCTCTAGTAATTCACTGTAAACTGCAGCTAACCATAGAATCATAGAATCATAGAATCATAGAGTTGGAAGAGACCACAAGGGCCATCGAGTCCAACCCCCTGCCAAGCAGGAAACACCATCAGAGCACTCCTGACATATGGTTGTCAAGCCTCTGCTTAAAGACCTCCAAAGTAGGAGACTCCACCACACTCCTTGGCAGCAAATTCCACTGTCGAACAGCTCTTACTGTCAGGAAGTTCTTCCTAATGTTTAGGTGGAATCTTCTTTCTTGTAGTTTGGATCCATTGCTCCGTGTCCGCTTCTCTGGAGCAGCAGAAAATGACCTTTCTCCCTCCTCTATGTGACATCCTTTTATATATTTGAACATGGCTATCATATCACCCCTTAACCTCCTCTTCTCCAGGCTAAACATGCCCAGCTCCCTTAGCCGTTCCTCATAAGGCATCGTTTCCAGGCCTTTGACCATTTTGGTTGCCCTCCTCTGGACATGTTCCAGTTTGTCAGTGTCCTTCTTGAACTGTGGTGCCCAGAACTGGACACAGTACTCCAGGTGAGGTCTGACCAGAGCAGAATACAGTGGCACTATTACTTCCCTTGATCTAGATGCTATACTCCTATTGATGAGGCCCAGAATTGCATTGGCTTTTTAGCTGCCGCGTCACACTGTTGGCTCATGTCAAGTTTGTGGTCAACCAAGACTCCTAGATCCTTTTCACATGTACTGCTCTCAAGCCAGGTGTCACCCATCTTGTATTTGTGCCTCTCATTTTTTTTGCCCAAGTGCAATACTTTACATTTCTCCCTGTTAAAATTCATCTTGTTTGTTTTGGCCCAGTTCTCTAATCTGTCAAGGTCATTTTGAAGTGTGATTCTGTCCTCTGGGGTGTTAGCCATCCCTCCCAGTTTGGTGTCATCTGCAAATTTGATCAGGATGCCCTTGAGTCCATCATCCAAGTCGTTGATAAAGATGTTGAATAAGACCGGGCCCAAGACAGAACCCTGTGGCACCCCACTAGTCACTCTTCTCCAGGATGAAGAAGAACCATTGATGAGCACCCTTTGGGTTCGGTCAGTCAGCCAGTTACAAATCCACTGAGTGGTAGCATAGTCAAGACCGCATTTTACCAGCTTCTTTACAAGAATATCATGGGGCACCTTGTCAAATGCCTTGCTGAAATCAAGGTAGGCTACATCCACTGCGTTCCCTTCATCTGCCAGGCTTGTAATTCTGTCAAAAACGAGATCAGGTTAGTCTGACATGACTTATTTTTCAGAAATCCATGCTGACTATTGGTGATCACAGCATTCCTTTCTAGGTGCTCACAGACTGTTTGCTTAATGATCTGCTCCAGAATCTTCCCTGGTATTGATGTCAGACTGACTGGGCGGTAATTATTTGGGTCCTCTCTTTTCCCCTTTTTGAAAATAGGGACAACATTTGCCCTCCTCCAGTCTGCCGGGACTTCGCCTGTTCTCCAGGAATTCTCAAAGATGACTGCCAGTGGTTCTGAGATCACATCTGCCAGTTCTTTTAATACTCTTGGATGCAGTTCATCTGGCCCTGGAGACTTGAATACATCTAGACTAGCCAAGTATTCTTGTACTATCTCCTTAGTTACCAACCAATGAGGGAGATTTATGTTAGGCCCATTATTAGTGAGGCCAGAGTTACAGTGGAAGAAGAAGAAGAAGAGGAAGAAGAAGAAGAAGAAGAAGAAGAAGAAGAAGAAGAAGGGGAGTTTGGATTTGATATTCTGCTTTATCACTACTCTAAGGAGTCTCAAAGCGGCTAACAATCTCCTTCCCTTCCTCCCCCACTACAAACACTCTGTGAGGTGAGTGGGGCTGAGAGACTTCAGAGAAGTATGACTAGCCCAAGGTCACCCAGCAGCTGCATGTGGAGGAGCGAAGACGCGAACCCGGTTCCCCAGATTACGAGTCCACTGCTCTTAACCACTACACCACACCGGCAAGAATGTGGGCTGACCACAGAACTGGTTAAAAACCAACTGAAGGGAAAATGAACAGCTTACTGTAGAAGTGAAAAACAATATATAAGGTACAAGGAGGGTTCTGAGAAATATAGGGAAAAATGGATTGAATAAGTTATATTTCAGGGATTGTGGTTGGAAGAGAGATGGTAGATGATATATTGATGGTATTTAATACCAAGTAAATTGGCAAAAATGTATAAATCTAAATCAAATAAGTGTTGGAAATGTAAAGAGAAGGAAGGTACTTTTTATCATATGTGGTGGTCTTGTAGTAAGGTTAAAGCTTATTGGGAAATGAGATAATGAATTGTAAAAGGTGTTTAGAATAACTTTTGTAAAAACAAAAGCTTTTCTTTGGGGAATTATAGGGACAGAACTACCTAAAATGTATAGAACTTTATTTATCTATACTACGACAGCGGGAAGAAAGTTACTCGCCCAAAAATGGAAAGAAAAAGAACTCCCAGCGAAAGAAGAATGGATAAAAAAAACTTATGGAATATGCAGAAATAGCAAAACGTACTGGGAAGACAAGAAATCAAGACAACAAGCTTTATATAAAAGAATGGAAAAGGTTTATTGAGCATGCACAGAGAAATTGTAAACAGATAAAAACATTGGCAGGATTATTGTAATAACCTGCAGTTTTATAAGAGTATATATTTAGAATAGATAAAAATGAGTAAATTGAATGAATTTGGATATGAAGACATTAAAAACAAATTTATGGAACCGCAGAAAGAGGGGAAAGGAAGTCAAATTGGGAAATCTTAAAAGGATTGTAAAACTAATGAAATGTATAAATCTGAAAAGTATAAATAAAATATTTTTAAAAAAAGAAAAAGGAAGAGAGATGGTAGGTGCTTGGGTAACAGTGAATAGCTTTGATGACATATAGATGACATATATTTGCCAATACAGTGTATATCCTAATGGAAAGAATCCAAAGAGCACATATGAACCAACAGAGGCTTTCCCCAGTGCCCACAGGGTACCCACCCATCTTCGCAATGACATTTGGCTTGAAAGAGACATCATATTGTAGCCGATAGACTAGGTTGTCATGTGTGTTTGGTTGTAGTCTGTATGCCATGCCCATTGTAGTTTCTCCAGTTTGCAAATGTGTTTGCAGGTCAAAAAAGGTAGGTGACCCATGTTTTAACATCAGCCTGTTAACGTCAGCCCATGAGAATGGTTGAGTAAAGGTCTCAAACAGATCAGGCACACCAATTGATTTCTAGCATTATCATGTATTGCAGCCTCATTCAACCTGACACTCTGGAATGTTTGACTTTTTCAGTCTGCCTTTCCTTAATTTTTAGAATCCAGGAGATCTTTAACGGTGGGTTCCCCCCCCACACACACACTTATTTTGCTCCCACTATATATCAAAGTCATTCCAATAGTCCTGATGAACTAAACAGTCAAGAAGGCCCAATTCCTATCCACTGCCTAAGACTGGTGATAGAAATGGTGGTGCCTTCTTCCTACCTGTAATCTGGCATAAACATATCTAGCAATAATGGTGAAAAAGGGATTTTAGCAACAGCACAGGAAGAAAAAAGCTTACTAGTACATCAGATTTCAGAGACTTTCTGCCCAATGTTTTTGGTTCAGCTTTTCAGTGTTTCCTGGAGGTTTGAATAATCAAAGTTTTGCAGATAGGTGTCAAGAGAGACACAGCCATGCAAGCAAGGGGAGGATAGAACTCACTCATCTCCCACCTGATGACTGTATGTCTGCATGACTTCAAAATATGTGTGGCATGAAATTAGTTCTAGGGCAGCCCTGTGCTTTTGCCATGTGAACATAGCCATGATTAGGAGCTCCTGACCATGGGGAAATTGGAAATTACACAGAGTCAGAGCATGGAGGAAGAAGGAGAGGTCCCTAATGTATAATATCAGCTCCCCCTTCTCCAGACACACTGCGTATCAACATTTCATTCATACGGTCTGTCTCTGTGCTTTGGTGCCACAATGACTGGTGCCAGTGGCATTACTGAAAGAAATTCATAAATGCTTCCTTGGATTTATTTGCAGGCAGTTTAGCTCTTAATTATAAAATACAGCTGATAGGCGAACATTGTAATTTATAAAGTTCTATATTTCCTGGGAAGGATTAGATAGTGCACTTTTTTTTTTATCGCCACCACAGTCTGTTTATGATGTTGTGTCTGCAGGCTGTTCAGTAAAATAGAATAAAAACTTGTGGTACCAATGGACAGCCGTTTAAATTTTTTGTCTCACTTTTCACATACGGAGCCATTGAGAGCATCAGAAGTCATTTGTCAGTTGTGAGTGACACTGAGAGACAGAGAAAGAGATTAAGAAAACGGTTGAGAAACAAGTGTGGAAATTTAGGGAATTTGTGAGGCAAATAAAATGGCCTGGACTTTTAGTCATATATACATGCACATATATACATCCACCCACTTTATTAATAATAATAATAATAATAATAATAATAATAGGCTTAGGAAGGGCCATAGTTCAGTGGTAGAGCATCTGCTTGGCATACAGAAGGTCACAGGTTCAATCCCTGGCATCTTCAGGTAAGGCTGAGTGAGACCACCTTGGAGAACCTCTGACAGGTTGTCTACACGACAATGAGCAGAATATTCCGACGTTATATAAGGCAACTTCCTATGTTCTAAATCCTTACTTCCAATCTTTTCCTTCTGTAAATCACATTGCATGAGCTTATTTCGCAGTGTATTTGTGTTTCTGAGTTGGACTCCTGGGCCCTGAGCATGCCTCTGCCAGGTACGCCAGATGGAGCCCATGATTGTCTATGGTTATGCACCTCTGCAACAGCTCAGTTTGCGCTTTACAAAATGCAGAGGGATACGTTTGCTGGATCGCATCCAGCATACACTCCAACAACTCAGGGAGGGAAACAGGCAGTTAGAAGAACAAAAGAGCATAAACAGAGCCCTGCCGGATCAGGCCAATGGTCCATCTAGTCCAGCATCCTGTTCTCTCACAATGGCCAACCAGGTGCGTGCAGGGAGAACCCTCAAGCAGGATCTGACCACAACTCTCCCTTCCTGTGGCTTTGAACAACTGGTATTCAGAAGCAATACTGCCTCCAACCGTGGAGGCAGAGAGTATCCCTCATGGCTAGTAGCAATTATGAAGGAGACTGCATAAAGGCAAACACAGAAGCACAAAAACACAACACTTGGCATTCCCAGTACGTTTTAATCCCAAACCTACTTGCGTGTCAAGGTCCCCAAGCCACCCCTCAAATAACTCACAACTCACACATAATTTTTGTTTAAGGTTTCTGGCATAATTTTTGGCCAAAACTTTATTAAAATACATAAATGTGAGTGGTTGCTTAGGCATTGGTTAAGACTATCTGTCCCCCCGCCTGGGGATAGAACTGACTTCCGAACTCCCTTAGAAGCCAGTAAGGGAAAACAATATTGGGGAGAAATAGAGCTGAGCCACAGGCCCTCACCTCTCCCCGCATGCTCCCTGGGTCTTGCCGGCCCTAGCCCCATTTCAAGGATTCGGATGAAATCATGGCAAGCCCCTGGACTCCTTTAATGGAATTCCCTTTCCAAAGCAGCATTGGAGGGGCAGGCCAAGCCAATCCATACCCCTCCTCCAACCAATTGATAACCAATGCCTAACTGTAACCTTACAAGTTGTGACGATTTGCTACGCAGTAGGCAAAAACCAAATGGCCCAGCCAATCAGCCAGATGGACAAAATTCCTACCAGGCCTCTGCCCCAACGGGCAGATGACCCCATGACAGACATAGCAAGGTCAACGTGAAATCCCTAAACACAGGGCGGGTGGGCGGGTGATCCAGTGCATGCAGTGAAAGAGAAAGCTCAAAGCTGCGTGCACAGAATTTAAAACGTTCAATCCCTCCCACCAAATTGCGACATGGAATTTACCCCAGCAACCCGGCCATCCAATTGTTGCCACAGGTCAGCTTAATAACCCTGCCTGGCAACAGAGGGGTGGCCTGGCAGACCCCACCGCACCACGTGCTCTCTCTCAGGGAGAACACGCTATCCGTGCATACTCAGAAGTCCTACTTTGGTGGGGCAAAGCTGCAGCAAGAGTTTCCTAGCAGCAGCACCTGCTACTTGCCAAAAGGGAAATGGGCCAGGCAGGACCAAGGACTATGTGGGTACACCAGTAGGAGCCCCAGATTGGTTCTGCCAGTGTGCCTGCACAGCTCTAACCTCACAGCCCCTGTCCCACCCAATCAGCCACAGTGGAGCTGCTGCTGGGAGGCCAGTGGCTCTACTCCACCCAGGGAGCCACTCCTGAGGCCAGGTCAACACTTTCAGCAGAATGAAGTTGTTGCAAGTGAAGGGTGTACCTGGACTCAAGTGCGCAGCCAGCACTCATGTTCATCTACACACTCCTGAGAGGTTTAGGATATTTTGCTGGAGTCATGACGTGCGCTTGTTGTGGATGTGTGTTAACCCTTAACCTTATGCCCACAAGAAGCTCTCACACAGAGGAAAAAAGAAAGCTTGGTTTATTATATGAAACAGGAGTGGCAGAATATATAAACGCTGCTTCAGACAACAGAGTTGCAATCGAAGCAGGCGGCAAATTCTACAATACATAAGCACCTTGATTAAAGAGCAAAAGTTTCCCTGTTCTAAAATGCCTACAAAAATGCTGGCGTGACAATTCTGCCATAAACCCACAATAGAAGTGGAAAGAGAAGGGGAAGGAAAGTATACTTGTCCTTAAAGCAAAGCAGAAGTGTGCAGAGTCCTGGGCTGGCTAAGTGCTATCCTGTTGGAGCTAAAAGAGCTAGCTAACTACTAGAAAATCTGGGGTTTAGTAATGCCTCCTAGCAGGGAAGGGAGGGGCTTTGAGAAGAGCAATTCCTGTCTTTTCCAAGAACCTCACCTTGCCCATCGTAGTGAGAAACATGACTGAAAACTGGCCATCCTGTTTGCTAAACAAAAGGGTGAAAGACTTTCAGAGTGAGCCTCTATCTGAGCCTGGCCATCTCTATCTGCTGTTAGCCTTCAAATCACCTGACCATTGTGGGGATGAGTGTCCTGTACTCAGCAAACTAAATTTACATGTGCTAATTTTTAGGTCAGATGTGGGTGAACTCAGGATAAGCCTCAGTGCCTTTCAGGAGGCTGGAAGTTTCCGGTTCACCAAAGCTCTTCACAGAGGGTATATTGCCATACTAAGAGTTATTTCAATCTGCCATGATCTACAAAGATAAACTATCATAAGTTCAGATTCATACAAGTCAGGTTATGACGTTCCAGCCCCCAGACAGGAGCACTCTCAGAGACTGGCCCTGGTGTGCCATTGAACTTCTATCCATTTCCTTATTTTGACTAAACCCCTGCACAGTCAGAATTACTCTGGTGTAGCTCTCCCTGGAAAAGACCCTGATGTTGGGAAAGATTGAGGGCACAAGGAGAAGGGGACGACAGAGGACGAGATGGCTGGACATTGTTCTGAAAGCTACCAGCATGAGTTTGACCAAACTGTGGGAGGCAGTGGAAAACAGGAGTGCCTGGCGTGCTCTGGTCCATGGGGTCACGAAGAGTCGGACACGACTAAACGACTAAACAACAACAGCTCTAGCTGAGCTCCGGTTGGGACAGCACAATATCTGACTACTCCAAATTCGCTCATCCTGGAGGATCTTGGGTTTGGATGGCACAGGTGATGGGAAAGACCTCTGCCTGAAAACCTGGAAAGCCACTTCTGGTTGGAACGGCCAGTATTGGCCTAGATGGGCAAATGGGCATGAGGATCTATGAGAAAGAGCACTAAAGTAATGACATGGTATGCAGCCTGCCAATTTACCTTTAGCAGCTGGGGAGGTTGATCTTGAGCTGTTGATATAATAATATTATCAGGAAACTGCATTTTTGCAGTGGATGTTTAAGGGGAGGAAAAAAACAGACACCCTCTATGCTTTTAAACGGGGGCATTCGAAGTGAATGAATTCAGCATATACCAGACAAAGAAGAACCTTTAATTATGTCTGCAATTGCAGGAGGAGCGTCACACACTGTCTCAGAATACGTGGGCGATTCAAGAGTGTCCCTATGAAAATGTTAGAGAAAAATAACACGATTTAAAATGAAGCAGAGGGTTTTTTTATCCTGGTTGGTGTATTGCAAACTCAATGGATGTATCTAAATTGGGTTCTATTATTTGCTGGGGCCTTGATGCCCTCTAGTGGCAAATTAGGAGCTCCCAGTTCTGCAAGGCAGCCTGGCTACAGCCAAATAATCAGAACTCTCAAACTGTTGGGTTTTTAAATAATAATAATAATAATATTTGATTAAAAAGGCACTGGGTAATAGCTCTGCAATCTCTTTGGTACTTACACTGAAATGGTAATAGTGCAATATTGATAGTCTCCAGTTATGACATTTATTTAGGTATTTGCTGCTAAAACACTTTTTCTGATGCACACATCAGAAAAAAGTAATTACTTTAAATGTGATTGCTGTATTTTGGGGTGGGGGGGTGGGAGGGCTGAAAATCCAACCAATTGTTTTTCCCATAATTGCTGGTTAGCTGCACTCGCCAGCACATCCACAAATAACAAGTGTTTTTTCCCTGTTTTATACTCCTGCTGCTGCTCGGAGGATTTGGCTGGTTTCTCCTGCCGTGAGCAACCTACCCAGGAGGGTTGCTCATCTCTTTGATCTGCACCTCATTTATCTAATTTCTGGACCCTGCCTGGATGGAGGGAAAGGATCATTTAGCACTAGGAGAAAATTCTGCATCTCACGTTTGAAAAATGTGTAACCCACCGAAATGGACAGAGCCAACTAGCCACACTTGCCTGCACTTGCCTGCAGTTGAAGAAAATGGGGGTAGAAATTGGAGGTGTTCAAGCAACTGAGAGGCCACCACTGGGCTCAATCCATCATGCTGGCCTGTTCTGTTTTGACTTGGAGTTTTGAGAACTTCTACCTAGATCCCTACAGAAAAAGGCAAATGCCTTTAAAGAATTCAGATAGCGAATCCTTAGGAACAGATAATGAACATAGCTGCTTTATCAATTTCCCCCCTCAATTATCCTGGTGAAAGGAAGATGGAATGCTGTTATTGTATTCAGATACAGGCATCCTCCCAAACTGGCTTTGTGGAATGGGTGTCAGAGGAATGGTAATATAGGATTGTGTCCATGTCCTACTCAAATTCGACTTCATTCAGAAAGTAATGAAGCTTAAGCTATCAGGGCCCCTAATCACAGAGGAGCAACTTCATTCCACATTGCTTTTAAAAAGTGGGTCTAGTATACATTGTTGTATATATTTTAACAATCCCAAAGTTTGAGAGTCAGTAGCACACATGTTGTAAAAGTTGTTGTGCCTCCCCATCCCCCAGGGTACGCAAAGGTACACAGGACTGACACCTCTTCTTTTGTTGTTAAAAATTGTGGCACTTACTGTAACAACTTCATAGTGAGTACCGGCACCTATTTTTCTAGGGGGGGGGAGGACTGGTTGTAAACAATCCCATTGAAGAAGATAACAGTGGTTACCCGGACCTTGTTGCTGGTTGTGAAGGGGCCCCCATCA